GACGTTGGTTTTGAGCAAACAACCATGAATTGATCGTTCAATCGTCAACTACATTGACACCCGTATATAAAGCCACGGAGAAATCACAAGCATCCACAAAATAGGAATTTCATTATTTGAAATGACGCAAACAATCTGTATTCAGCCAATATTTTCACCCCAAATAGTAATCAGCTCCTCGGCTTGTTGTAGACCACAACCCGAAACGTTATTCTTGCTAATTAAAGTCTTACCTTTATCTGAGATATATCGTACACTCATCAGACCACCATGTTACCCGCTTTTGAAGTGGTTTGCAAGACACTAAATGGCTGTTAACACTGGCTTTGCTACAGGCGGTCTTAGTTCATGTATTCGGATCTAGTACATTCGGCATTAATAAACATAGGTAACACTTACCGATTTGCTGATTCCTTTCAAGTTTGTTTCAGTTCCAAAACTACATACAGGCACAACAGATTCACACTTCTCATGTGACTCAACCTTGTTTGATTTAGATTCTCCGACAATATATCTGATTCTTTAACCGATAATATACACTGATGGTATACTCGGCATCCCGAAATGCTTCAAAGCTTTTGCAACTTCAAACCACGTTCTGAAATCTCCAGGTTTAATATGCTCTTCGTAAATCTTGCCAATATGAAACCTGATCGTATTTTCCTCAACAGATTGACTCATAGATTGCTGCAAGCTGTAAACATGCATGTGAAAGACATTGTTTTTTCCAGATTTCTACATGCTACATAATCAATTGGACAAGAAACAATAACAGCAACCAGCAAATGGAACAAGACCAACATATTTTGTCAGCTAAACACGTTAACGTGCATATTTTTCAAAAATTCTACGCCGAACTACTTCATTAATAGCTGAAAAACAACTAAAACATTGCAACCAGGCATGAGAACAACGTGTGAAACAATTGTATTGAAATGAATCCACTGCCCTGATGGTAAAAACTTCCGAAACACACGAAATTAGTCACTTTAACAACAACGAAAACAAAAATGAGGTGAAAAGCAGCATTTGCAAACAGTGCGCATCAAGATGGGTTGTCAATAAATGCAGGATACACGGGAAAACCGATGTGCAAACGAACGGCTACGGAAACGCAATCCAACATGGCCGACTAACATGGGCAGCCTGCAGACGGCCGTAATTTTGAGTGACCGCGAATGAGATAAACAAGCGATTCGCTCGCTTGTGATTGGCCAGTTTGTCATTCGAGTTGAGGTAATTTCAAACATCATTTTGCTGCTTGATTAAGTTCTGAATTTCCGTGAGCGTTTTATCAAATTGGAGAGATAACTGACAACACAAATTATTACAGCTCAGGAAAGAAATGATATAGCAGCGGATTTATTTGCTGAATACAACGAATTCATGCCAAATTGAGATCTAAGGACTTCTCAGGAGTCTCAAGAATGCAAACAATCTTCTGAAGAAGTAATAACTTCACGCAACTTCAATTATCGCTTGACCATTATTTTCAGAGATCCTTAAATAAGTATAATATACACAGTGGTCTGGCTAATCGTGATAAAAACGGCACGGTTGATGCAGCATATATATATATGCTTTTGTATATACGTATACGTATGTACAAAAGTATTACTTTTGTATATTTAGGTAAACCTAGATAAACTGTACTCTTGTCACGAAGATCCGAAGGCAAGTACCAGGTGTCTCAGTGAGCAGTGTAATACAAGGAGGGAGGGTGGCGTAAAGGAGGGAGGGTGGCGTTAGCTGATCAGTAGATATGGTGGTGGTCACTAAGGTGAATCGCCCCATTCTGCGGGAACAGCAAAATACAAAGTAAAGGCTCGAGATATTTCTGATTTTTATGAGGGCTTATATCTTTATCTTGAAAAAGATAATAATGAACGCCTTGACAGATCATGCTTCTACCTCAAAATATGTACTATTCGCTCAGCCTATTGTTGAGATGCGACCATATGGGATGTGCACAGATTTATGGGGCATCTTATAAACTAACTTGCTGTCCATTGACTGATCTTTAAATACCACTTCACAATGTCTTATTTCATTCATTTTCCAATAACGTCTTTACTTGATCCTCATTATATCCCATTAAACCTAACATTTTACAGCTCTTTATGACTTATTATATTCCTACTCTCTGAAGGGTACGGTTGTACATTAAATGCACAAAAAGGTATAAAACAAAAACAACTGGCACAACTGAGGATAAATGTATTAAAACCAAAAGTGGACATCATGATAGTACGTGATATACGTGTAGCATTATACATTGCAAATAAACGTTGTCAGCCTAGGGAGTTTCCTTTATTAATGCATTTATTAATGATACTTGCACTTACCTATTTCATTACAATTTAATGATTCACCTCAGCACTTTTACTTTTCTAAAACAGCTTTCAATCCCTTGTAAACGTTGTACTTACCTCAATATTGGTTGATTATCGTATGCCTACAACCACGGGATGAAAACAAAACGAAGTCGATTTTCCCGCTCAACCTGTAGGACAACTGTACAATTTAATAACTATACAGCCTAGTTCAGACAATGTGTATTTTATATATATATTAAATATTTAACTGTTGAAACATTATTAACTTGTAGACAATCAACGATTTGATATTATATCATACTTGATCGTGCCTGTAAAAATGGCATGCATTTTCATGTAAATTCATATGTTTATATGAGAATATACATTATTATTATTATTATGTAAGTTGCATGTTTTTATTTGACATAAACTGGATCTCCACTCACTTTCAGAATTAATCTTAAATTCAGTTGGAATAAGCTTGTTGAGCACATCAGTATTGATAGAATACAGTGAAAGTAAGTAAACACATGCTTCTTAAGATTAAGTGATACATTTATTTGATATGATTGTATTATTATCAGTTGTCTATCTAAGTTAATGATGAATTCGTTGCGATAATAATACCTATTATTGTTTTTATAGTCACTATGAACATGAATGTTATTATTATTGCTGTCAAGACCTATTATTTGTCATAAAGTGGTTGTCATTTTTGCTAAAATATTTGTACAAACTTTGAAAACTACTGCATAACTTGTCGTTAAATAATTCTGCCATTCCAGGATGCTTCGATGGACCAACTAGATATCGAATTTAGAGGTTTCACGGAATTCTCTTACACAGCCTCTAAATTATTCTCGCGTACCAACAACAAAGCAAAAGCCAATATTTGATCGTCCAAGCTAAGTGATATATTTCGGGACCAAAACAAGCCTTCAGACAAACGCTTAGCTAGCTAGTGATCGTGCACGTGACACGACGAGGTACCAAATGGCGGGGATGCTTGACCGGAAGCCTTCAGCTAAACAAGTCAACTTAAACAGTGGTAGTCAGCATCCAATGAGTGATTGCTGTGGTCAATAATTTTGGGGAATTATTTACCCCTACACGACCAACGATAAGCTGCGAAGTCCCTTAAGTTTAGTGAAAACTATTGGGTTACTTATATATATTGTTTGTAAACTGATTACTTGTAAATGCTTATCAGGAAAATTTTTTGTTCAGATTAAACATGTAATACCCAAGTTAACTATTTTTTTCTTAAATCTTTTCAGACTTATGGAAAAACATATATGTGCCGTGTACGCAGATGGAACTTACTGACGGTAACAGAGGACTACTCATCTGAATTATCTGTGCATTTGAAATCTGATTTTTGTTTAATAAACAATTTTTCAGTGAATCTGTCTTCCTTCTGTTGTAATGCGATTGTGTTCCAGTAACATGCGTATCACGTGCTAAGTTAGAAGTTGAGGGTAAACTGTTAGGAGTAAATGCAGCGTCTGGAAGACTTGTTTACGTGGTTATATGAGCAGATAGCAACGTATCGTGTTCCTTGGCTGAGAACCCTAGTCATTCTGTTTTTAATTATTACGATAACCGTAGTTGCACTGAGTCATACATCTAACAGCATAGGTATAGTCTCTCCTTATGGTACACCGCGACATGCAGAAATCACAAGCAAACTATCTCAGGCGGATTTACTTTCACTTTGTGACTATGAATCGCGAATCAGTATATGTATTCTGCTAAGACGATAGATAATTTGAAACGCTTTATAATCGCAATACCTCCTCTACGATTTAGGCATATTTACTTTATTTGACTACAACATAATGTTTTACCACTAGGCTTCTCCGAATATCTGCTCCCACTTAGTATTTCAAAGATAGCCTCATATACTCTATACCTCACAAATTGCGCAAGGGCTAATATTCGGTCTTGTCAAGTAGAATAAGCAAACGAATAACGAGGAGTACATTTATTAATGAATTAACATGTAATACAAAATCAACAACGGTGCAGGTATCTTTTTCTTTATCACCCAAATCCATGAAATTCCCGAAAGTAGATATCTGAAAAAGAACATAAGAATTATACAGATGTAGACATTGTTATCAGTGTCAACATAATAACTAACCATGAAATATGTTTGAAATGACGAAATAATTAGTTCAATTGTATATAATTACGTCAGTAAACATTTTTCAATAATACAAAATCGATATTGATCTGCCTGCGAACGTCAAGTTTATGCCACAAAATAAGGAAATACTATGCGTATATAATTTCTAAGTATTTCTGCAGATTTCTCCTTAAAGAAATACATGTGGAAGAGCCTTGTCAGCATTGGGAAAAGTACACAACAAAGTAAGTGAAATAATTACCAAAACAAGCTATCCCACCTCATCATGTCCATATGTAATCCATTAAAACGCAAAAATATTCACGAAATCGTCGTTATAACATGTGTCTTCAAGTAATTCGACATATTCTGAACGGAAAAGTACGTTTTTCCAACAAACTGCAAACTTCCTGTAGGCTACGGCCGGATAAGAACACCACCATTGCCTATTTCTGCTAAGTACGCCGTATTTCATCAACTTTTAGCAGGAATATATGTAAGAGTGTGTAAAACAACGAAAAATGACCTAACCTCGACGTATTTTCCAAAAGTGACGCCAATATCCATCGGCTGATCAAATGACCTACGGCCTTCCACAGGCTGCCACTAACATGGATGAAAATGACCCTTGAGCGTCTCACTCCGTTAATGACCTTGAGCATGCTGGATAATTTCAGTAGAAAATACAAGATTACCCGAAACACCGGCGGAATTTCAAAACTGGGTACGCTACCGTGTAAACATACTTCTTCTAGGATATTTTAAGTCATTTGATGAATTGGGATTGTAGGCACTTGCCAATATTTTGGATTTTTCTTAAGAACTGACATTTTAATAAAAGCTGACAGTCTGTAAAGGGGTGTGCACACCTTCCCCCTCCAACTCATGGTTCGATATATCGTACTATAGTATTCCGCGAAAATTCTTATATATTGTTGTCTCTATTCCCTGTCCTATGTTTGTCTGAAATTACTTGGCGATCAGCAAAGAATTTATAACAAACATTGGTTAAGGCCTGCTCTTAAACATTTCACCAGTGAATTGCTTCTTTCCACTTAGCATTATTTTCGGCGCATTGCAGACTTTTTGGGCCAAAAACTTCGGGTAGCTCTACTTACGTGGGACAGTGTCCCGGAGTCTGTCCCTAAAAGTCTGCAATTCGCCTAAGTCTGCCGAGAAGTATGCAATGCGCCCAAAAAAATGCTAGCTGGGTTCTGCATTTCTAGTCTATCATTTGCTATAATTGCCAAGACTACGTCATTCATATGCTGATATTTAGACATATAAATGATTGCCTACTTAAAATCATTTGCCATCTCTTGATCTCGCCATGGCGAGAGAAACATGCTGCAGAATGTTGGTTTTCATGGTTGTCGAGGCCCTGGGCGATTACAGTTACTCACCCCAAGTACGCACCTTGAGGATAAATCAATGTAAATATTTAAAGAACCCATTAGTTCACAAAATGTCCCGTATTTTTCCATGAAATTTCTCCAAATACTCCCAAATTACTTTCATGTTTTCTGATGGAGTTTCCTCTGTTTTTGTCTTATTGTCAAATTAGGTGTTACTACAATAATAAGTTTCCTGAGTGGCTGCAGGTGATTTATTCCCCTCATAAGTTGTTAGGGATTGTTTCTAGTAGCTTAGAAAGCGATCTGGAAGTGTGTCCAGAGTCGTGAAACTAATTAGTAGTTTGATTAGAAGGATAGCTATGGTGCAACAAATTACCAATAGTGGGAAAATGCCTTGACGCTTGCGAACGCTAATGTATTGAAGATTGTCAAAGCAAATGTTCTTAACGAAAACTTTCGGGTATATTGGACGGCGTGGTTAATTTTGTGGCTTTTGAGGATGATGCTGATGTTTTGGTGCATTCTCCCAAAATGTTTACGTTGAATTTCCCCCAAAACTCTAGCATGCTTCTTTTACATATGCACAACAGTTGATAACTTTTTAGGAATGGTACTTTATATTTTGTCCTTCCTGTATTCAAAATAGGTATTCAAAACCACTGTGCGTCGGTAGCACATGGTCCGAGGTTCGATCGCCTGCCGACGCACACCTGATATCTATGGTCGGCCTTCAAAATTTGGGCTACCGATATCCATGTTGAAAATTCCATACTTGTACCAAAAATACAGTGTAGAATCAAGCTGTAATCAAAAATTACAAAAAAATCAAAAATACAGAGACTGCGGCAATCTCGCCTAGTATGGTTGCACAGTTGCTGGCATACACGAATGTTCGCTCATGAATGTCCCATAGTTTTAAATCTGAAATACTCTAAGTAGCAGAATAAGTGCAAAGTTCTTACGATTACTGGTTGTTATGCTAAATACAATGAAAGATATATTAGAAGTTAATAATTGTATTTAAAGAGTATTTGAAGGATGAATTGTTATGCAAATGAGCTTTTAATCGGAAAAAAATATGATCATATGTAATAATCACTTAAGACAATACGAGTAGAAGGATAGTTTTTTTCATAACTTTTTTGATATTAACCGATTGAAGTCATGAGGGAAGAGGCTGAACAGTTTTCTTTCTATACAAAGCGAGCTACATGGATTCTGGCAATTCGAGTCGCTGCACATATGTACAAAGTTCTACGTTAAAACCAGTCAGTCAGACAAAGCGTAGCTTCTTTTTGTTGCTGTCTAAAGGTTGGTCAGTACAAATCCCGAACGCGCACATTTTCTAACAAGGGCCTTTTAAAGGAAGACTGTTCAGGTACATTGAGCACTATCAGCAATATTTTCAATTATCTTTCTTCTTGTTGATCCGCTTCCAACTCTTCATAACGGTGCAGAGTAGTGTTCATACATTCTGCTGACCGGCTTAATTTCGAAAGAACTTTGCAAAGAAGTGCGACAATTCAAGTTGTCACATTCCATTTTGCATAAAGGTAGACAAAGGAGAGGAAAAATTAGACTCAAAAAATATATACTAGTTGGCAATAGTGTCAAGAAAAAGGATACGAACATTGAAAAGGATGAGGGAACAGTGGATATGGGAGAGTCACAGAGTGGACTCCTCTGAGCCGTTGAGAAAGATTTTGAACCCTATCACCAGTGGTCTCCAGCCATTGGTTTCTGGAATCTAGAGGACCACAACCAAGCAGTCTTTACCTCCCTATGTGGCTTAGACCAACTGTCAAAGACTTCATAAACTGACACCAACCTAATCTCATGTCGGCTAACATCGCTCTTCGAGGAAGACGATGACTCAGCATGCGCAACACATATCCTAGCTTCCTTAATTGATGTAGCTTCACAACATCATCGATTAACTTACCCTCCTTACCTAGCACTCTACATCTAACCACAGTATTACTCGTCCTATTATACCGATTAAAACGTGAGATAGAACGCATACGTCTGTGGTCAAACACCTCTTATCTGCACTCGTGAAGAGAACGTGAATCGAACTAGCTATGTGCCTAACTCCAGTAGTATAAGCAGATGATCGGCCGAGTGCGAGATTTTGTCAAGTGGTCAGTTAATAAGTCGACTAAAGAACACTTCTTTAAGGTTGTACAGCACATTATTTCATTTTACTTTGTGGTACTTTCCAGGTTTGATTAAATTATCACCTGATCAATTCAAAAGCCTGACGTATGACTTGCGGTAAAACAAGTATCACAACTACCTCAATTTATTACGGGGGTTATAAGCGTATTTATTATTTGTTGACTAGAAGAAGTGTTACCCATGTTTATCACCAGTCTAATTTGACATGAAGAGTTGATGCAAGTAAGATCAACTTGAACGAATTTCATGGCCAAAAACAACATCAACTCATGGAGTAACTGGCTGTTTGGGAAGTGTTAGGAGGCGTCACTTACCTGCTTGGGTGTATGTGATAACCACCAGAACTAATGGTCAGGATATTAAGTAGTATGAATTAGAGTTAATTCCAGTAGCATAGTTGCATTTGTAACCTCCCACATTCCCTAGACCGTCATGTTTTTGCACGTTATTATTCTTCCCGCCTTACATTTCTGTTTATTATAGTCCATTTGAATCCTTTACTTTCTTTTATCTACCTTTTTGTGCTATGTTGTGTGGCAGCCTGAACTGTTGCACCTCTGTGCAAAGCTCCATGTTAAAACTCAGTCAGTCAGTTGTATTTGTGCTTTATTTTCACCGTAACATTTTATTTCTTATTTTACAGCATTGTATGATATTTGAGAATGTTGTTTCTGTTTATGTGTTTGAGTATTGTTAAATTTCACGTGATTCATATGCGTGAGGTGTGGCAACTTTAACCACTACTCTGTTCTATGCCGACACCGTCTTTTGGTCAAAATAGTTCATCTAGCTCCACTTGTTTTCTTAATACAAATTGATGCATAAGTGAAAAGGTAGATATTCACACCGTTTTTCCTGTTTATAGTGACAGCTATAGAAATGGATCCGTTACACTGGTTTATTGCTTTGATACTTATCATTGGTATATTATACGTAATCAAAAGACGGTATTTCGGTTACTGTGAGTGTACACTTCAAAATCGTTTGGATGGCAAACTGTCATCGTTACGGGATGCAATACAGGTATTGGATTAGAAACTGTATATGAGTTGGCTATCCGTGGAGCGCGAGTCATTATGGCATGTAGGGATCTAGAGAAGGGCAAGTCCGCCAAAGAGGAGATTCTCTCTAGGTTATGCACTGAAAATTCATCGAATCCATCTTCAGTACATAGTGTGGAGATGAAGCCAGATCAAGTAAGTTAACTTTATATTCTTTTTTCCTTACGAGTTTCACACAAGTATATAAAACCACACTACTCAACCGTGCTTTGTCTAAACTTATTAGTATGTAGCAGTAGTGTACTATTAATGCACTAAATACAAATTAATATTATGTTTAGACCATTACTGTTTGTGATATGGAATCGGAGAGAATACAAACAGCCTACTAATAAGTTAGTGTGGCCAATCTTGAATCCTAAAAGCTGTTATTATTATATATTGTTTTGTGTGCAAGTGTTGATTTTATTCTGATGATAACTTTCTCTTTACTTGGAACTAACTATTCCCACAAAATGTAGCGTGTTGTAAGTGGAGATCCCGGTAATCTAAACATAGCAGAATCTAACGCTAAACAGATGATCAGAGTATAAGATCAGGCTGCATTAAACCATCCTTTAAGGTTAGGGAATTAAATGGTTGAATTTGTTTATTACGTAATTTCTCGGAGAAATGTTTTGTCCCTGACTGATAATATGCTAGGCAACTGATGTTTTGTGTTGTCTTCGGACCTCCGACTACCTATTAGAGAGTCAGTTTGTTACACTGGAGTTCGGTTTGTTCTACTGTGCAGTTGAGGCTTATTCACCGAAAGTAGGCGTAAAACGACTAAGGGCGCCTTCTTTCCCATTATTCGTGTGAAGTGAAACCACACAGAAGCGTTAGGTTCAGGATCTAAGTCAATCTATAAGGTCGTGGTTTTTTGATGTGAGATTATCAGACCGAAACTTGATATTACATCGTGAGAATTATTGACTACTGATCTGACGCGTATATGGAGGTACAGCTTCTCGCACTAGTCGCATAGGGTTGCTAAAGACTGACGGATGTGATCCATAGCTGTTTAGCTCGAAATTTTGAAGAACAGTCATTCAATTATTTCCTCTCAAACTCATGTTTATTCATTGCAGCATTCTACCACTGTTACGAAGGTGATTGAGTCTTAGAACGATGAGTGATGCTTGAATCTTGAAAAGACGAATGAACCAAGAATTTAGGCTTTATTCATTTTACAATGAAGCCGGAATGGCTTAAACATATAAAGGAAAAAAAGAGTGTTAATAGTGGTAGAGATATGAATATGACTAGATACGTATTATAAGAAAAGTTCACAGCATTCACTGCGGCTTGAAAAGGAATGAGCCATTATATCACGCTTCTCTGGTACGCAAATTGTAAGGCCGTACACGTTGTTGTTTTTCCAAAAGAATACGCCCGTTGTTCGTTTCAGTTGTATTTTCTTCACGAAGAATATTAGGATCAGTGGTTGCATCCCCATTTACTTGTTGCTCAGGAATTGCGTCGCCCTCCAGTATTGCATTTTCAACTTGATCTATATCTTCGCCTTTGGGTGCCAGATGATGAAGAGCAACTGTATCTTCACGTCCATTACCGAAGCGAACGTGAGCGAATTGCGGGTTACAATTCAATAGCTCCACCTCTTCAACCAGGGGATCGAATTTGGACTGACGAACACTCCGCCGGAGAAGTACTGGTCCTGGTACAGTGAGCCAAGTAGGAAGAGTTGTCCCAGATGTCGATCTTCGGTTATAGGTAAACAGTCGTTCGTGTGGCGTGGCGTTCGTTGCAGTACAGAGCAAAGATCTGATGGAATGCAAGGCGTCGAGTAGAACAGACTCCCATTGTGCCGTTGGTAGGCCCCGTGATCTTAATGCTAGAGTGATGGCACGCCAAAGTGTTCCATTGAGGCGCTCGACCTGCCCATTGGCTTGAGGATTGTATGAGGTAGTACGACTGGTTGCTACGCCTTTCTCCAGAAGAAATGCCCGTAATTCGGTAGACATGAAAGCAGCGCCTCTGTCGGTATGTATGTAAGAAGGCATACCGAAAATCGAAAATAGTTGGCAAAGGCAATTCATTACCGTTTGAGACGACATGTCGGGGCAGGCGAATGCAAAGGGGAATCGAGAATATTCATCGATCAGCGTGAGCAGATAGTGATTGCGGCTAGCTGACGGTAGAGGTCCTTTAAAGTCGATGCTCAACCTTTCAAAAGGTTGGGTTGCTTTTATGAGTTTGAAATTAGAGGGATTGTAAAATTGAGGCTTTAACTCACAGCATGTCACGCATTTACTGGTTACATTGCGCACCTCGTCAAGGGAGAATGGAAGGTTTCTCGAGCGTACAAAATGCATCATTCGGACAACTCCAGGATGGCACATAGAGTCATGGAGAAATTTCAAGTCGCACACTGACTGCAAGGAACCGCAGAAACTACGGGAAAATGTATCAGCAGCTTGATTATCCCTTCCAGGATGATAAATGATGTCATATTGATAAGGGGATAGCTCAATTCTCCAACGCATTATTTTATCGTTCTTGATTTTGCCTTTATGAATCTTGTCAAACATGAATGCTACTGAAAGTTGATCAGTGACAAGTTTGAAGTGATTTCCGAGAAGGCAATGCTTCCACTTACGAATTGCTTCAACCACGGCATAGGCTTCTTTCTCAACCGATGAATGATGTTTCTCACTTCGAGAGAGGCTTCGAGAAAAGAAGGCGACAGGTTTACCATTCTGGTTTAATGTAGCTGCAATTGAGACATCTGAAGCATCTGTTTCAACAACAAGGGGTGCTTTCGGATCAACTACCACAACGACTGCACGTTCTAAGTCGTCTTTCAGTTTGTCAAAAGCATTTCGAGTTTCGATATCAAGAGGGAAAATCCGATTATTTACCAATGGGTGGATTTTATCTGAGAAGCGAGGGATCCACTGTGAATAATAAGCAAATAATCCAACGGCCCGTTGTTGAGATTTGATATCTGTGGGTGGTTCTAGATCACGAAGAGGTTTTAGCCGATCGGGATCTGATTTTATAACCCCTTTGAAACTTCATAACCGAGTAATTGTATGCTTCTGCTTGAGATCACACTTTTGGAATCATTAAGGGTTATTCCATAATCGCGTGCTGCTACCATAAACTTGTTTAGATCTTTGTCGTGTTCCTCCTGAGTTTTGCCGCAGATAGTGACATTGTCAGTGTAGGCAAACGTGCTTGTGAGTTGTTCTTTACTGATCAATCCATCGATAATGCGTTGAAAACAAGCTACGCCATTGGTAACACCAAAAGGAATTCGGCAAAATTGGTAAAGTTTCCCACAAGCCTCGAAAGCAGTATATGGTTTATCTTCGTTCCTTAGGGCAATTTGATGATAAGCATTCTTCAGATCAAGAGTGCTGAATATGTCATATTGTGCGATTTTTTCTATCATTTCGTCAATCCTAGGTAATGGGTAAGCATCCAGAAAAGTGAATCGATTGATTGTCTGACTATAATCAACTACCATCCTCTTTTTATGGCGTTCGTTTGACGTAACAAGAACTTGAGCTCGCCAAGGAGAATTAGAAGGTTCAATAACACCTTCTTGCAGTAACCGGTTGACTTCGGTGGAAATAAAACTTTCATCTTCACGAGAATAACGCCGGGATTTTATCGCGATCGGTTTACAGTCTTTTGAAAGATTTTCAAACAGAGTAGGCAGGTCGACGCGAACACAAGGTAGACCACAGAGAGAAAAAGGCGGCTTTGATCCCCCAAAAGGAATCTCAATGTGTTTGGGAAGTTTTAAAAAATCATGTCCAAGAAGGACGTCTGCACATAAATTATGAAGAATGGATAATTTGAATAGATCATAAGTGTGGTTTTTATAGCAGATGGATAGAAAACAATGTCCTTCAGTATGACTAGTAAGATTCGTACTCGCCATTGTGATTCTGTTTCGAGACTTATGGACTTTCCAGTTATACTTACGAACAACTGAGGAAGAGATGTAGCTCTCACTGCTTCCGGTATCCACTAGAGCTTGCATTGATTTCCCATTAACAGTAAGCTGCGTAACAGCATCAGTGAGACTTTGAGGTGCTGAAGCCACAACGAGAGATGAAATTATAGAGTTAACTGAAGATGGACCTTTTTTCGTAGATGGCGCAGACCTGCAAACCTTCTGAAAATGTCCTTGCTTGCCACAAGCTTTGCAAACTGCATCACGGGCGGGGCATTTGGAACGAGGATGTCTACGATTACCACAGAAAAAGCATTTGGATTCAACGGCAGCAATGGTTGTTTCATTGACGGAGGGTGTGGAATCTGATGAATGAGGTATATCATGTAAAGAAATGGACGCGCAAGGTGTAACAGGATTGTTGTATGACTGCGATTGTTGATGTGCCATCTCTAGAGCTCGTGCTTGATCGTATGCCGCTTGAAAAGTTAAAGTACGCTGTTCTAATAGCCTCTGGCGTATCATCGAAGACTGTATACCTGAGATGAATGAATCACGTAGAGATTCGTTACGATGTTCTTCGGCTGTAACTGCCCTGAATGAACAATCTGTAGTCAGCGACTTGAGTCGACGAACAAACTGATCCAGATTTTCGCCAGATTCTTGTTTACACGTTGCTAACAAGTGTCGAGCAAACACTTCGTTGCAAGGCTGCATGTAGAGACTCTTGAGAGTGTCGATAGCTTCTTCGTATGTTTTGCATTCAGAAATGCATTCGTATACAGAAGTAGAAATATGATTGAAGAGAATATGTAGTTTCGAAGGATTTTCGGATCCCATTGATTCAATGAAGTAGGAAAAAGTCGCAAACCAGTGATCCCACTTCTTGGCAGCTCCAACTGCGTTAGGTTCTACGTCGAACCGATCAGGTCGGAAAAATCGTTCCATGAATATTGTAAAATGAATAAATTGTTACGAAGGTGATTGAGTCTTAGAACGATGAGTGATGCTTGAATCTTGAAAAGACGAATGAACCAAGAATTTAGGCTTTATTCATTTTACAATGAAGCCGGAATGGCTTAAACATATAAAGGAAAAAAAGAGTGTTAATAGTGGTAGAGATATGAATATGACTAGATACGTATTATAAGAAAAGTTCACAGCATTCACTGCGGCTTGAAAAGGAATGAGCCATTATGTCACGCTTCTCTGGTACGCAAATTGTAAG